GGCTCACACCTGTAATCATGGCTCTTTGGGAGCCTACGGTAGAAGGACTGCTAGAGGTCAGGAGTTGAGATAGCCTGAGCAAGAGTGAGACTCCTTTCTCTACAGAAAACAGAAAACTTAGCCAGGTATGGTGGTGGAGGGTGCCTATACTCCCAGCTACTCAGGAGGCTGATGCAAGAGCATCGTTTGAGTCTAGGAGTTTGAGGTTGCAGTGAACTATGATGACACCACTGCACTCTACCGGGATGACAAAGCCACACTCTATCTCAAAAAAAAAAAAAAAAGGGGTCATCACAAGGATAATTTGTGTGCAGTTAGAAAGAGGAAGTGATAAGTTATGTCAGATGAACCCTACTTCCTTTCTTTGGGAAAGAACTTCCAGATTGATAGATCAGAGAGTTGCCATTAACATAAAACATCTGATTTCAGCAAAAAATGTGACAAACTCTCTCGATAGCCTTCCAGATAAAGTGAAGACAAGTTGAGCTGGCTGCTAACACCCTTAAGTGGATCTGTAAGTGATCAAAGATCAGTGGCAATCTAATGAGGGGCAGCAACCTCCGGTAGAATGTACTGGATTCTCACTGACCTGGACAAGAATGCTGATGCAATCACTGCCTCCATAGAACAAATATGGGACCCAGTAGGGAATACAACTGGCAAAGATTGCTGCCCTAATATAACTTACATTCTAAAGGTGGCGAAAAGACAGTAAACAAAATAAACAAGTGAAATGTATAGTATGTTAGATGAATATACGTGCAATGGACCAAAAACCCCAGAGAAACAGCATCAGAAGTGTATTGCATCAGAGGAGGGGGTCACTCTTAAAGAGAACAGTATGTGATCTCATAGAAGAGGCAGTGTCTGGACTTGGGGATCACATAACTAAACTCACTGGTGAAATTTTGAGTTGGTGGGAAGGTAATAGAAGACAAAAAAGAGAAAGTTCATATGTTAATTAGACAATCATATCAAAACCTATCCCAGTTAGGTTAGAATGTTGGAAGAAATCCAATATATCTTTTGGGATATGC